CCTCGACGCTCTTTCTCGTTTGGTGCGGTAGCTGGTCTTTCTTTCTATCATTTTGTTTCTCTTCCGAGTGGTTTTTGTACCCTATTTTTTTCTGTTTCTTCGTGGGGTCGTGTATGCCGGGTTTTGAGACCACGGGTTCCCAATCTTTTTTTTTTAGAGCTAATGTGAGAAACAACAACAACAACAACAACAACAACAACAGAGGTGCAACGACGAACTTCTGGGTGATTCCTACTGAACCAGCTGTTCGTGTGCTGGACAGTCGATAACGTCGAAAAGGTGGAAAACCGCGCCGAAGTGGCGCATGTCTCGGTTCCCACACCATCGATTTCACGAACTCATAGCGTGCTATCTTTGCGCCCAACATTGATATCCTCAAGGTACGCTGAGAAGCTTCATATATTCGAGACGCTAGCGGCGTAAATATGTAGATGTCGGTTGATTTTGTGGCGGACGGTTTGCAATCTACGTCTGGCGCAAAAGTTGTTCTTTCACACCGAACCGAGTAACGTTCGAAGTCATCGCTCGAGCGAGACGGAACGCGATGCCCGCTGTTGCTGTCTCTCTGTTGTTGGCGTCACCGTAAGACGGGGGGAAAGCGGCCAACTGCCACACTTGACTACTGTATTTCGGCTATTTATTGTCTTTGCCACCACACCTCCGGTTGAGGTCATGCACTACCGAAACGTTTGAGTCAACCCACACCATATCGTTGCGGTAAGGTAAATATAGCCGTAGCGGTCGGCGGCACGGTCAAACAGGAGTGACTCTACGCATTGTGCTGCTATTTCCCGTATGAGAGCACCACATGCTACGAACTGCAGCTGTTTCTTGACACCGGAGTGTCCGTCGCCGCGGGAGTGTAGGCGCCATTCACACAGCCCTGATGCCAGATGCCGCGATGCCGCTAAACCAGGGTTGCTAGGGACGAACATACAAACACACAGTCGAAGAGCAACGGGCCGCGGTCTATCTATGCGGGGCTACCAAATGAAACTATTCACGATGTTTGCCGTTACGATGTGCATGTCCACGTGATTCCCCAGCGGTCGGTGGTCGCTGAGCAGCGCAGCTGCCGCCCTGGACAAATGTAGTTTTCAGCTTGCTGTATTGTCCGTCCGTTCTGCCCTAGCGTTTCTGAGCACAATGGAGGCCACTGCGGTACCACTTTAATCCGGCCGGGGTCGGGGTTGGGGTCGTCCTGCACGCGATCCATCAGTAGCACGGTACGACGTACACCGACCAAGGGTCGAGCGACATCGGTCACGTCGCTACGCGGCACCTGGAATAAAACGCCGCCGACAATGATGAGTGGCGTGGGGCATTGGTGACGATGAAGGCAATTTTCAACGTCGCGAACAGCCAGAATCGCTACTTGCGACCTGAGAAAGAATATCGTGAGGGGGCGGCGTCGACGTTGCCGACATCGAACGTGGACAGGCCACTACCGGCGGGAGACCGGTTCCGCCGGAAGATGCGACGCCGGCAGCATGCATGCACCTGACGCGGTCGTAATCGCTCATGTACGTGGTGCACGCTTAGAACGCTTACGCCCAGGAATGCATAGTGTCATGGCACAGGTTGGCCACCATGAAATCCTATGGCTTGGACCTTGAGGATATTTCGTCAACGCCTTCAGGAAGGAATCGACATGATCGGAACTCCTATTCGCCAACTTCGAACGAAGAGTCGAGGACTTCGGCCAATTGATGTCAGCGTGGTTCACCAGGTCTCGGGCATTCAAGAAGCAGCGCCCTACGCCGCGCGCATCGCGTTCATGCCCCCGGTGACATGGCCAACGTAGAGTGTATCACCGGGTACATGCTTCAACGCTTCAGAGGGACTGCGCCGTCGGTTTCCACGGCCATCACTCTGTTCTGTCTCAGTCCAAGCACTCCCGCTCGGTTGGGGAATTTCGGCGACCGTCTTCGTTTCGAGGACAGACTCGGGCGAGCGCACCCGTTGGAACTGTTCATGGCACCATGCTGAAACATAC